CACACAGGTAGACACACACACACAGGTAGACACACACACAGGTAGACACACACAGGTAGACACACACACAGGTAGACACACAGGTAGACACACACACAGGTAGACACACAGGTAGACACACACACAGTAGACACACACACACAGGTAGACACACACACAGACAGACACACACACAGGTAGACACACACACACAGGTAGACACACACACAGGTAGACACACACACAGGTAGACACACACACACAGACAGACACATACACAGGTACACACACAGGTACACACATACACAGGTAGACACACACACAGGTAGACACACACACACAGGGAGACACACATACAGGTAGACACACACACAGGTAGACACACACACAGGTAGACACACACACAGGTAGACACACACACAGGTAGACACACACACAGGTACACACACACACACAGGTAGACACACACACAGGTAGACACACACACACAGGTAGACACACACACACACACATAGACACACACACAGGTAGACACACACACATAGACACAGGTAGACAAACACACAGGTAGACACACACACAGGTACACACACACACACAGGTAGACACACACAGGTAGACACACACACAGGTTGACACACACACACAGGTAGACACACAACAACAACCGCCATTCGCCACTAAGTGGCGGTGACGTCACCACGACGCTTGTGCCAGGCTATGTGCACCCTGAGGCCACGTGAAGTGTCGAACGCCCGCTGGCAGGAGGTCACGGGGCAGACCCAGGTGCCACGGGTCGACTGACTGAGATGACTGGCTGATGCACCACCTGTGCCCCCTACTGTGCCAACCTGCTGTGCTTTAGCCACCCGGCGCTCCGCTCGCTGTTGTGAGCGTCGCTCCTCCGCCCTCCGTTGTTGTTGGAGGGCGACTGCCTCCAACTGCCCAGTAGCATCCTTCACGAGCCTCCTCCACAGAGGCCGATCTTGACACCGCTGGTACCAGTCATCGGCAAGTCCACTCAGCTCCACGTCCTCCTGTACCACATCACTCCATCTCTTCTCTAGCCCGTGCCGCGCCCGCTTAGCCCCCTCAATCCGGCCAAACAAAAGCTGTTTCGGCATGCGGTGGCTGGGCATGCGGGCTACATGACCCAGCCATCGCAGCCTTGCCTGCCGGAGGAGCTCACCGATGGGACCCTGCCCAGATCTTTCAAGGATTTGTGAGCTCCTTACACAATCCAGTCTGGTTAAACCCAGGATGGATCGTAGGCAGGTCAGCCTAAATGTTTCTAACCGGCGAAGATGTTCCATTAGGGGGGTCCACGTTTCGCAAGCGTAGAGAAGGGAGGGAATGACCGTGGCCGAGAAGACCTGAAGCTTAGTGCGGAGCGACAGACCAGGTAGCTTCCACACAGCGTTACGCAACCGATGAAAAGATATTGCCGCTCGACTGATTCGGAGTGAGACCTCTGCTGTTAAACTGGAGCCAGTCATAAGCACACTGCCCAGTTATGGGAAACTCTCCACTCTCTCCACAACTGCCCATCACCGATTGGGAGTTGTGGGAGTGGAGTGTCCGATGGTACAAAATACCCAGGCAGGTGCTTAGTTTTGGTGGGGCTGATGGTAAGGCCCCACCTCTTAGTGGCACGCTCCAGTCTCAGCAGCAGCGTCTCCAACTCCTCCTCTGACTGAGCAGCTATTACCAAATCATCAGCATACATAACGTGGTTGACCAATAGGGAGCCATCCCTTGACCGCACCCGGGCATCGATCAGCCTCCCATTATATCTGTACCATATGGAGATTCCCCCGGTACAGCTATTGAAGGCTTCAGGAACTACGTGGTCAAAATAGAAGTGAAATAATGTGGGAGCCAGAGGACATCCCTGTCGCACCCCAAGGTGTACAGGGAATGGCTCTGCTTCCCGGCCACGTAGTTTTACCCGGGCCCGCTCACCATCATGAAGGTCCTTAATGATCGTGAGCAGAGGGTCAGGTACTCCAAAAAGCACGAAGAACGACCCAGAGCCCAGGCCTACTGATGGTATCATAGGCCTTGACCAGGTCAATAAAGCAGAGATGTAGGTCGTTTTGGAATTCCCTACACCTCTGCTGTAGCAGACGGACAGAAAATATGGCATCTGTGCAGGACCGCCCTTTCCTGAAACCGCATTGGGGCTCCGCAAGCCTCTCCTCAGCGTGCCTGGCAAGGCGATGCTGAATAATCCTTGCCAGGACCTTTCCCGGCACACTGAGGAGTGAGATGCCCCTGTAGTTGTTACAGTCTGTGCGGTCCCCCTTCTTAAAGAGGGGGACCACCAGGGCATCCTTCCAATCCTGCGGAACCCGTCCAGCGGCCCAGACCGTTGTTATGATGTCATTTAGGGCAGTCTGTGCACAAACGCCACCCTCCCTCAGCATTTCGCTTGGGAGATCATCTCTGCCCGCTGCCTTTCCTGGTCTCAGATTCTGGATCGCTTTCAGTACTTCCTCAACAGATGGCACCTCAGCCAGCCACTCACAGGGGGTGACTTCTTCCAATATTTGAGGCACCGCAGCCTCACCAGGGTCATCCTCACTTTGTGCCACGATGTTTTCCTGGCTGAGGAATTTTCCCCCAGGACCTCACAGAAATGCTCAGCAAATCTGCAAACCTGTTCCTGGGGATCGGAGATTGGGTCACCGTTTTTTCCCCTAATGATGGTAATAGGTGTGGTGCTGCAGATTACGTTTTTGATGGAGTTAAATAGAGATTTGTGATCACGGGCCACTGAGGCAGACTCCATCTTCTCAGCAACCCGCGACCACCATGCATCCTTGCAGCGCCTCACGGCTCTCCGAACCTCCGAGCGAAGGCTGCGGTAAGCCTCCTCATTCTCTGACGTGGGATTCTGAAGCCGATGACAGTGGGCCTGTCGCTTTTTCTCAACCATCCTGAACACCTCCTCTGTCAGCCAGGGTCTCTGGGGAGGTCTGGACCGCGTACCCAAAGCAGCCATTGCAGCTGCATGAGTCACAGTCCTAAACCTCGCCTATTTACCCTCGACATCAGGAGGAGTTGGGGACGATGCCAATCCCAGCCACAAGCGATGATGAAATTCTCGCTTGCAACTTTCATCAGATAACTGAGACCAGGCCACTTTAGGTTGGAATGGGGTCCTGGGTGTACACCTACCACCGGAGTGGAAGAATGGCAGGCGCATCTTACAGATGACTAGTCGATGGTCAGAGGGCAGATCAGCTCCACGGTAGGTCCTGGTGCCAAGGACATGGGCTCGCATCCGCTGGTCCGTCACTATGTAGTCCAGCAGATGTTCTTGCTTGGACCTGGCATGCATCCATGATGTTGTGTGGATGCGCCGATGCCGGAACAGCGTGTTGGTAATTACAAGCCCATGGGCTGCACAAAAATCTAGCAGCCTCCTACCGTTGTTATTGAGCTGATCTGGCCCATGCCCTCCAATCACTCCAGACCAGGTGCCAGTATCATGACCAACTCGGGCATTGAAGTCACCCAACAAGATAACTCTATCCCGAGGGGCCACTTTAGCCAGCACCTGTGACAGGAGGTCATAGAAGGCATCTGACTCATCGGCTTTGCCTGCATCCCTCCACGGATGTTCGTATTCGGTGGGGGCATAAGTAACCACGACCACCACTCCTCGCCTCCAGTTGATGGGAAGGCGAGCCCAAAGTAGCCTGGGGCTTACAGCTTCCCACATCTCACCGCCACGCTCCCATGCCCCCTTCATTCTTTTGTTCAGAAGAAGAACCACACCCTGTTGTTTGGCAGTCTGCTGCCCCGAGTAGAGGACTGTCCACCCTTCCTGAATACCACAGAGATCCAGGCGGTACCGGTCCAGCTCCCGACAGAGGAGTGGCAGCCTCTCCTCCGCGGTGAGCGTTCGAACATTCCACGTGGCCACACGAAGTGGTTTTTTTGTTGTTTCTGGAGGAGCCCCGAGGGTAGAGATTCAATCTCCTGGCACCACCAAATGGGATTTAGCCAGGAGACGTCATAGACGCCTGTCCCCCCGGTAGTTAATTGAAGGTGGTAGTTAATTGCTGCTGATGATGATGCTGATTATGATGCTGTTGATGATGCTGATGATGCTGATGATGATGCTGCTGATGATGCTGCTGATGATGCTGCTGATGATGATGCTGCTGATGATGATGCTGCTGCTGATGATGATGCTGTTGATGCTATTGATGATGATGCTTTTGATGATGATGCTGCTGATGATGATGATGCTGTTGATGATGCTGTTGATGATGATGCTGATGTTGATGATGATGCTTCTGATGATGATGCTGCTCATGATGCCGCTGCTGATGATGCTGCTGATGATGATGCTGTTGATGATGCTGATGATGATGATGCTGATGATGATGCCGCTGATGATGATGCCGGTGATGATGATGATGCTGTTGATGATGATGCTGTTGATGATGC